CTCGATGCACTCGCCTGTGTGGGGGGTTCGCCGAGATGGTGGGTGGAACTGCGTGCGAGCACCGCCACTGCGGCCTTCGGTGGAGCTCCCGCGCCACGAAGCGTGTGAAGGGTCTTGTCCGAGGTGGGGGGGGGAGGTGCGTGCGGACGCTGCCGCTGGGGCCTTCGGTGGAGCTCCCTGTGGGGCCACGAGGCGTGCGAGGGCCGCACCGAGATTGCGGACGGTACTGCTCGAGGACCATGCCATTGGGGCCTCAGGTGGAGCTCCTGACGGAGCCACGAAGCGCGTGATGGAACCGCATGTGGGCACCGCCACCTGGGGCCTTCCGTAGACTTCCCCATGGAGCCACGAAGGGTGTGGCCGAAATTGACACGCGGAGAGCAGAGGCAGGGTTGGGAAGAAGGAGGAAGGGGGGGCGGGAGGAAGGAGGAGGAGGAGGAGGAGGAGGAAGGCGGAGGAAGGAGACGCGGGGCGCAGTCTCTTCAACACAAGGACCCAACACTACAGGAAGGTTGTAAACAAGAATCCTTACCGCGGCAGCCCACTTCAGACTCGCACCCAGGGATGTTGTAAGACCTTTCGGCGACCTCAATCCTGATGAGTAGTATGAGTCCCAGCCTCGAACGCGGGCACGTGCGGGTTAACGGCTTCCTTTCGCTGCTCCGCTTCACGCTGTTGCGCAGCCTTGCGGTATTGCGTTGGGGGATAAAATGAGTCCCATCCTCGAACGCTAATGGTGCATCACTTTGCGCCCTCCCCTGCTCTAATTGTGAGGCGGCCAGGGGGTCTGAATTGGCTGGGACCCCAGAGAATCTGGCAGGAGAGAGGGACGAGGCCAAATCCAATCAACTGCACCCCAAACCTCTCCTGGGATCCATCTCGTGTACAGATTTCTACGCCGGAGCAATTTTTCCTTGTCGCGGGGCCCAAAGACGGCCCCCGGAGGCCGAGAAAGGGGAACGCCTTCCCGAGCTCAGAGCCTCGAGCCTGCCTGCCCTTCCTGCTCGCCGGAGCCAGTGCTGGGCCGCCTCAGGCCCCCAGCCGGCTTTGAGCTGCAACTCCTCGTGCTCATAGCATGCGCGTGCTCCCCCTCCTCCTCCCCCTCCCGCCTGCCCTGCTGCGGCTCCGCGTTCGCCTGCTCCCGCTGCTCCTCTGCCCCATCTCCCCCTCCGCCCCGCTGCCCCTCCTCCCCCTCCCGCTCCCTCTCTGCCCCTCTGTGCTCCTCCCGCTCCCGCTCCCTCCCCTCCCGAGGCGCGTCCTGGGCGGGTGTGCTCGAGCGCCGCTTCTGTTTGCCGGCCCTCCGACGGCTTCAGGGGCCGACCGCTCCTGGTAGCGACCGCGCGTGGGCGCCGGCTCTTCTCCTTCGGGGGATCGTAGAGGGGGGGGGGGGGTATCCCAAGGCTGGGTCAGGGAGCGCACCCCAGCTGGATGCGCACATCTCCTCCTTACACGGACCGTTGTTAGCGATCTTCCTCCCGCCCCACCTCTGCCCCTGCGGTCGGCCCTGATTGGCAGGTCGACCGTGCTAATTCGAGGGTGCGCCTGCGTCCTGCCTATCCCGACCAGTGCAACCCGCATGCCCGTGGGTGCTCTGGGGCCACGTTGCCGCCGGGAGAGTCGTGCGTCCTCCCGGGTGTCTTGCCCAATCGAGTCCGACTGTACCCCGCCTGCACGCGCCCCCCCCGAGGTGTCCCAGACATCTGGCGCCGCGGCTCTCTCCATGCGTGGGCCCCCTGGGCCTCTCGCGGCCCCGAGGGGAGCCGAGAGAGAGGGCCTCGACCCGCCCCCGCTCGAAAGGCGACTGCAGTCGCCCCCGGCCCGTCGAGCTCCCCACCAGAGCTCAAGCCGCTCAGGGAAGGGGGATAGGTGCCACGACACGGGGGGGGGATAGGCACAGAGGGGATGCATCGGCCCCCACTCGCACACTGGTCGTCGAGAGGGGTCTGACAGCCACACCCCGCCCTGGAACGTGCGCATGCGCTATCGAGCCGCTCAGGGAAGGGGGTGGTGCCACGATACGGGGGGGATAGGCATAGAGGGGATGCATCGCCCCCCAATCGCACACTGGTCGTCGAGAGGGGTCTGACAGCCACACCCCGCCCTGGAACGCGCGCATGCGCTATCGGGGGCCCGTATTGGCGATGCATTGGCGATTCCAGGTCGATGTGCCCCTCCGTGTGCCAGTCCCCCCCTACAGCTACCCGTGAGGGGGACTCGAGGATACATATTCCAGTGAGCCCCCATCGAGGATGGACGCCCCCCAATCGTATACCTCCGACTGCGGCCAAAGCCCATGACCCTATCTCTCTGCGGCAATTTTTCGAGCTGGATCGATCTTTGAGGGTCCCAGGGCCCGAAATTATCCAGAAACGCACGGCGTGAAAATTTTGCAACGCACAGAGCCAAATTTCCGATGCCTTGATTTGTTCAAAACGCAGTCCCCGGAGCTCTGGACCACTTCCCGAAAATTGGTTGTCCGTCCCGAGTCGATGTTTGATGGTCCCGGCGCTGGCGAGGCCCCGATACGCCAGAAACGACGAACAGATTTTGTCTTTGATATTGTTCCTTACGTTGGAGGTTTGGGGGCACGTTCGAAAAGTTGCGACGCCATGATTCTAGGCCTCCTGGATGCGGTCGGAGTAGATGGGGTCGGAGGATCGGGCCGCATCGCCGATGCATCGCCGAGGCGGCTCGATGTGCAGCCGATTTGCATCGCACCAGCGATGCGTCGCGATCTTCCGACCACACCTGCTCCGACTACATTTAGGAGGCCTCTAGTGTGTGTGAGTTGAACCCCCCCCGTGCTCCTCGGTTTTCTGGCCGCTGCACGCTCATGGGTTACAGTCCCTCTTGTCTCACATTCGCACTTCAGCGTTCGAAGCTTCATTTACTGCTCGTCCGACTACGTTCCATCGCAATTAGCACTTCCCTCTGTTGACCGCGCTTGAGGACCATCTGCGCCGCCGACTTAAACGTGTGTGTGTGCGTCTGTGTGTCTGTGTATGTCTGTGTGTGTGTCTGTGTGTGTCTGTGTTTGTGTCTGTGTTTGTGTGTGTGTCTGTGTATGTGTGTGCCTGTATGTGCCTGTGTTTGTGTCTGTGTGTGTGTGTGTGTGTCTGTGTGTGTCTGTATGTGTCTCTGTGTGTGTGTCTGTGTATGTGTGTGTGCCTGTATGTGCCTATGTTTGTGTCTGTGTGTGTCTGTGTGTGTGTGTCTGTATGTGTCTCTGTGTGTGTGTGTGTCTGTGTATGTGTGTGTGTGCCTGTATGTGTCTGTGTTTGTGTATGTGTGTGTGTGTCTTTGTGTGTGTGTGTGTCTGTGTGTGTGTGTGTGTCTGTGTCTGTGTGTGTCTGGGTTTGTAGTCTGTGTGTGTGCCGCCTGTGTGCGTGTCTCTGTGCGTGTCCCTGTGCGTGTCCCTGTGCGTGTCTCTCTGCGGTGCGCTCCCCGCGGAGCTGGCCCAGAGCGCGCGCTCCGGCTCGGGCCGCGGCCGCTCTCCCCGACACCCTCCGCCCCGAAAGGCTGCGCGCGGGGCTCGCGCCCGCCGGACGCGCCTCTGCGGTGTGTGCGTGTGCCCTTTGCTCTCGGGGCGCGCGCCCTCGCCGCGGCGCGCTGCCCCCTCGCGCGGGTCGCCCGTGGCGCGTGCGCGCGCCCCGCCTCCCGCTCTCCGCACGCCCCGCGCGCCCGCCTCCGCGCGCGCGGGGGCCTCCGGCCACCCCTCTTTGTGCAGGAGGGGAGAAACACACACAGACACGATAAATCGTCGATCTCCCGGAAAGTATGGGAGAATATGAGAAGTGGGGGGGAAGACAAAACCCAGAAAAGATGGGAAAAGATGGGAAATCTGCTTATTTGTGTGTATTAATTTGTGTGTCCTGGGGCCCCTTCATTTGTCCCCGCGCCCGCCGCCCGCTCGTCGGATGGGGCCCCCCGCCTCGGCGCGCGCGCGCGCGCGGGGCGGCGGGCGGCTCTCGGCGCGTCCCGCTCGTGCGCGTCGCGGAGCGGGGCCCGCGGGCCCGCGAAGCAGAGGGCGTGTGCGCGCGTGTGTGTCTTACCCGGCGGCGGGCACAGCTGGGGCCCCCAAAGGAGGAGGAGGAGGAGGAGGAGGAGGAGGAGCTAGCTCCGCCAGGAGGTGCCTTGCTCCGCCAGGGGTGCCTTGCATCCGTGCTGTCTCCTGCTTCGGCCAGTCCACTTCGTGGCCCCACTGCTGCAACTCTGACAGCTGAGGGCTTTGCACCGTCGCCCTTCATCAGTTCCACGGGCCTAATTGTAGGCTGTGGCCCCTGGCACGACACAGACCGCGAGCTCTCCAGTCTGCACCGCCGGCCTTGGCAATCCCTTTCCGCCTCTCCGCCCCAGGGACCGCAGTCGCGACCGCGGCCGCGACGACCGACGCGGTGCCGACAAGCGCAGGTGCCGCCCTGACTTGGAAGGGGAGGCTGGCTTGTATGCATTGCTGGGTCGGCGTGCTTGTGAATCTCCACATTGAATAAGAACAGCAGCAATTGTTCTGATGGACACGAGGGCTCCGGATCTGCAATCTTCGGACTTGGTCCTGGGGAGCGCTGCCAGGACCCGTTTCCACCAGGACCCTGCTTCACCGCAGTATTCACGGGTATCTTGCTTTGCGCGAGCGACGCGCTTTGGACCAGGAATTGAGAGAGAAGAGACCGAGTGAGTCAGAGGATGCGATGCAGAGGCAGGGCCAACCATCTGACAGCGATGGATGCGTACACAGGGGACGCAGATGTAGATGAACGCGATCCCACAGATCCCACACACGTGGACATCTGCGAACGTCGACACACACACACACACACACGCCTCGTTCCCTTCCCCCCCCCCCCCTTCCCGCTCCCTCCCCCCCTGAACTCCGACGTCGCGATTTTGCTCACAGCGTCGACCCCCAGAGTTCTGGACCCCTTCCGGGGGGGGGGAGGGGGGGGGGCGCTTTTCACCCCGGGTCGAGTCTTCGCGGCCCCGGGGCCCAGCGAGGGACCCAG